CCAGGAATTTGCCCTGTACATGGAGTAGGAAGGAGTCCTATGCCTCTCTCTTGTTAGAAATTTTACAATGCAAATCTGCATCTAAACAAGCTTCTGAGTTCCACACTGGCACTTGTCAGAATCAGATAAGATGCTAGCTCGTGGTTTAGACAAGACTACAGCCACTTACATAGGCAAAAATGGCCAAGATGACAGAACATTATTGACATGAATGCACTCTGAGAAGGTTGCTACTTTGTGGTGAGCATAAACAATCACTTCTTTATGAGCATGAGCATCTGTGTTGAAGTTCACCTGCCTGTGATGCAAAGACTAATCAGGCACATCACAGGTCCTCAATTTTGAATTGATTTTACTGAGAAAGTTACTAAGGTGTGAGATATTATCTAAGTCTTGAAAGATAAGAAAAGTTTAAAAATGCATACAGAAATGCAGAGATGGTACCAGCAGCACAGGGGCTCAACAGGAGACAACAAAAATGAAAAGATGCAAAAACTCAAAGGGAAGAAAGCACAGCTGGCAACATCGTGCATCAGTACATTCCAAGAAGAACAGAAGAACAGCAGCTGACCTTTCCCCAGATGTCTGATATCAAATCAGGTAGCAGAGATACATCATGTATCTCACTGGGAACATTGAGCAAATTAATACTTAGTGAAGTTACATATTAGTCCTGGTTATCTACTACATGGATTAGTGAATAAATTGAATCTGTGTATTCTTAAGTGGCACACATCCTGATTGCAGGATCTCTATGCACACTAACAGATGTCTTCCATGAGTCTCATCATCCTGATCTGAAGTCAGACAGACATCTAACACGAAGCCTTCTGGCACTGATTTTACCCAATCATGAAATACTTAATGAGACAATCAAAGAGAAAGCTCAAGCCAAAAATCTCACCCGTAAGTTTTAGAGTGAATTAGGTTCAAGCTGTTTTATCTAGATTTACATAATTTCCAAATTGCTTGCCTAAAGAAGGTACTCAAATTCAATATTAGTTACTGTCATCACTCCAGGATAACAAAGTCTGCTCTCTACTTAAAATCTTCCTCACAAATAAGTCTAGAATAAAAGTTATTTACACTTTGTAGAAGATATTCAAGAAAATCTAACTCAAGAACCACAAATTCTGTCTTTCCACATACTAGCATATTCACCACAGGCACTAGAGGTCAGACTCATGGACAATGAAGGCTTTTTATCTAGAACTGTGCTGTGTACTTTTTCAGAAAGAATCTTGTGTAGCACAAATCATGTATTCCAGCTTATGACCTACACGCATGAGTTTTATAGCTACTGAACAGTTTTACTGCAGAAAATTAAGCATGATAGTTTCAAAAGATGAAAATTCAGGAAGTAAGTAAAGATTAGAAAAAGAAAGAAAATTGAAACTAAATAAAACTAGTAAATACTCATCAGAAAATAGAAAGTCTTGATTAGATGAAACAGAAGAGTTAGACCAAGGAAATTTGAAGGAAATCTGGCAACCAAATCCTCCAGCAAATCAAAGGAACTTTAATTCCATCAGTTTCCCTATGAAATCTTGTTTCCCCGAGAAACTGTGTGCCAAAAATAGAAGTGTTGAATCTAAAACCTCCAAAAGAAGGGAAGTGTTTTTTAAATGAATTTCCCAACTGTTCTCCTTTATTTTATTATGGTTTTCAACAAAGTCTCTCCATCTGTGGGTAAACTGAATTCTTTTTGAAAGTAGATCAAAAGATGTGCTTCATTTACTCAGAACTGCATAATGCATGAGATCAGGCCTGAAAGAGACATATAGAAAACCTCCATAATGCATGTACTTTAGATGTTGGGTCATAAGCATCCATTTTGGTCAACACATCCACCACTGTTGTCTCACTGAGACTCTTATAACTGAATAATCTCAGCAATTCAGGAAGATATTTCTTTCTTCTCCAGCTAATTTCACTATTAATAACTGCTTCTGAAGGTAAAAACAGGGAACAATTTTGAATACACATTTTTTGTTTTGTCTTTTTATTGCTTGAATGTCCCTTTCCTATGGGTTCCGTTATATGAATACTGACTGCTTCCTGACACAACCTTGGATGTAGGATATAAAGTAGAAAATTATTCCATTTTGCCAAAAGTGACTAACGCATGTCTTCCAACTTCATTTCAAAATATTCTGCTAGAATGGAGAACTATTTATCATAGATCAATTTTCTAGCTCTTTCAGTCATTTTGTGATAATGAAATAATTATAAAAGAGAAAGAGAGGGAATGTACCTACAGACTAAGAAAACTGGGAAAACCAAGTATGTTATTTTCATTGTCTTTCCACCTTTAAAAGCAATCACAAGTGAAAAAAATACAAAAGGTTATGCAGAATTACTAAAAGAAAAAATAGATGCAAATAAATACAGAAATAAAGGACCTGTCTTGAAAACTGACCTTTCAGGAAAATGGCCTGGAGATGTGAACAGAATTTATAACCTTTCTTAGCTGGAATTAGTTTAAAAGGTAAATTATCCATAATCATAGCAGACTGCGCATCATAAAAAGTACACTAAAATGCTTTTGCAATTATTGCCTAATAAAGTATGAAACAGTAATAGTAGTAAGCTTCTGAAGTGCACACACAGAATTTTAGTATCTCAAATTTAATTGCCAGGCAGTTATTTGTTGACCTTACAGAGCATACATTCATTGAGTATATATTAGTCTGCCTTCCTTAGTACTTGGGAAAGTTAATAAATACATTTATTTTACACTATAGAAACGTTAGAAGGCAAAAATGAAATACATTCTCATAGAGATCTCAATAAAAAAGGGAAGGAAAGAGATGATCATGCAACAAGTAAAAAGGCAGCATTAAAATGCAGAAGTTTCTAAATACACACTACAAAGATTATGATGAAATGTGAAGAGAGATATCTAAAAAACTTGGTTTTGATAACTGTCCCCTTTGCTGTTCTTGTTTGATGCTTCAACAAGTCATTCAAAATAGTCAAATTTCTTGATGTCCTGGAACATCTTTGAGTTATGCTAAGCCATAATCTGCTAAGACTGAAAGTCAAATAGAAAGCAGGATCATAACCTCACTATCAGGACCATGTAAGCTACAGCAGCCTGTGTTACTGGGGAAGAGTCATAAGCAGAGCAGCTTGTATTTTTATTTATTTATTTATTTATTTATTGAAAAGGTGTGTGGAACATAAATTTAAGCCTACTTCACTATTTCTGAATTTCTACTTTCAGTCTTTGCATTGGTCAAAATAGGTAGTGAAGCAACACAAGTAATAAACTAGCAGCAAGCAATCAAGTTTTTTTCCACAAGTGTACATAAGTACTCAAGTACATAAAATGATGTAGTAATCATATTCTGGCAAATATAGTCAGAAAAATATTTGATTTCAAAATGTTTTCATAGTATTTTTAGGTAGGTAACAGCGCTAAAGCAGTTTTTCTAAAACCTGTACCTGATTCACATTTCATCTACTGCTTATGTAAATTTTTACTTCTTATTCTAAATTCTTCTTGTTATATCCCTCTGAAATAATGCTGTGACATAGGAAGTTTCAAAGAGGGAAAACAAAAACAGTTTGCAACATTCCCTTTAACAGAAAGGTGTACTAAGGTATAACTTCAGGAAAACCACACTATTTGGCAAAGTTTTGAACAAAAATGAAAACAAGTAATCCTCTTTTCTTTTTTCTAACTCATGTCCTTAATTCGAGTAAGATATCATCTCTTTGACAAAAATGATACGGCTATTCTGATATCTATATTAACATGCAATTCCACAACAGAAAGAAATGGATACAACAGATGCAATTGTATGAGATACTACCAAAGCAGAATTATATATTTAATATATGGTTTAAGATATGAATACCATCATATACATCCTAACATATAAAATCTGTAAAATTTCGGTAAAATTACAACACTAAGGGTGATTAACTACTACTTCTTCTATCTCAGATCAGATGTGTTTGAAAATATCATATAAAATCTAACTCAAAACATCTGTGCAAATGATTTAATTCTTTCCAGACAGTTCAAGTTAATAATTTCTAGATTTTATTGTCATGTTTGAAACTACCACAAGCAACATAGGAAAATAGAGAAAATGGTAATTTTCAATGAAAACTGTATTCAAAGGACAGGCAAGTCTGAGGAGGAAAATAAACATATCAAAATAATTGTGAATTCTTATTTTGCTTTCTGTAAGTTCAGTAAAATGTAAAATGGTCATCAAATGCTTAACACATTTATTACTGTGATTTCTTACCCCTTTCTTTTACCCTTACCTGACTCTTCAAACAAGCAAACATTTTGTTTTAAAAAGAATTTCTTACTAATTAGATGTTTTTCCTTTCTGGTGATTCAAGTTTTAGGAAACAGAAACTTAGTGTGGGATTTCCTAACAAAGAACTTTAAGGAAGCTGTTCAGTTTAAATTTAATTCAGAATTTTAACGATTGCTTTCTTCTACATGATAGTTCTAAAATACAACTTTACTTATTTGAATTTAGTCTCTTAATTCAAAACATTTTCTAGGAATGCATCAAGACCGCATTACTGTATGGGCTCATTCACCTTTATTTATCATAGATATAGTACATACTATGGGGTCAGGCTACAGCCCTCTTGTTTCTTTTATGCATCATCATTATTCCTACAAACATTTGTAATCTGATGGTTAAGACATTATTTATAAAAGAATTCATTTTTCAAAAGTCTAAGCAAATCATTGCAGAGGTAAGAGAAAAATAACCATCAAAAATAAACAAAACAAACATGATAAGAATTTTACTGGATGCACCTCTGATTTATTTTTAATTTTTTAAGTAAAACAAACTTCAGTTACATTGGGCTAATTCTTATTTTTATGTAAGTCAGATTCAGTGCATTAAATGGAAGAACTGTTCTTAATAAAACACTGAATTTTATATAAACTCTAGACTTGATGGACCAGAAAAGATCACACTTTGTAAAAATTTCCAAGTATAATTCAGTAAATTACATACCTTGTGTATTTTTGAGTAAGAGGTGGAAAGCAGATTTCTTACTGGTTGACTCAGAAAGAACAGATGCACTGAGATAACAGCTGCACTGCTCCTGATCTAATGAGAAGAAAAACAAAAACAATCCAGATTCAGGGAAACTCATTTAGAAGTTAAAAGTGTTTTAACATTTTCCCTAACAAGAGAGATTCGAAGATGGATATTTTAAAAAATACATTTGCAAATGGGAAGATAAGTAGAGCTACAATATGGATTTTTTTTTTCTTAAATGTATTTGAAATACAACACTCTACCTAGAAAAGCAAAGATTAAATCATTTGCAGTTAAATAATATCCAGATAAGCAAAGAAACTTTTTTAGATACCAAAAACAATGTACATTTTATAAGTCTCAATCTGAGTTTGGAATGTTTTTGTGTGGAAATGAGATGACTGAACCACCATGCATGAAATCCTCTCTGGGAAATAAAGCAAGTCTTGATAATCAATTATATGAGACAGCTATTTTAATATCACTGTGCATATGCCTGTACCAAAAGCAACACTGTATACTGCCACGGATATTGGTTTTGATAAAGCAGATAAGATTGGATTCCAAAAGGGAATGAATTTCACATACCCAACTCCTAATTATCACTGTAACTTTAATATTTTATTTGATCATGGCTCTTCAATCTTTGAAGTGAATGCCCTCTAAAAAACAGTTGCAGTTTTCTTTGTTAAACTTTAAAATATACTCAGTCCATTGAAAACATTAAATTAAATTACCCATGTCAAATGAAATAAAGTGTTCTAGACATTAACTAACCACTAGTACCTAGGGGCAATTGTTACAGACTTTGTGGTTGAGTCTTCACTGGCAATTTCAGTACTATAAATCATATATTAGTTTTGCTGCTTCTATAAAATCTTGGTAGAAAAATTTCATACTGATGTTCCCACAGCAGCAATTACATTCAACTTGAAACAGGTGAACTATTATAAACCATCTGCAATGAGTTCACATATTCCGTAACTTTGATTACTGGTTCAAACTGGGACAAATTACATCCTGTCAGGTAAGTATTACTCCCACAAGCATTCTTAATGTAGACATGACTGTTTATGTAAGAGTAGCAGATTTAAGCAACACATATGTATAAAGTTCCCAGGAAGAAAAATTCTTGTTCACAATTGCTATCAGGTCCACAATTTCATACCTTCATCAAAAGTTTTCTAATGGTGAGTCGTTTTACTTGTTCTGTATTTATCCAAAATAAAACCCTCTTTGCACTAAAATATCATTCAAAATTCACAGAACCGTTTCTGAAGAACAGTGCTCTTGCGTTTGACTGATCTTCAGAAATGAAAATGACAGCTTCAGAAATGGTCCAGTATGCATTTCCTAATTAATTTTCTTTTCAATCCTAAACTATGCAATTCTAAACATATTTTTGTGTCTGCCTAGGCAAAAGATTGAAATCAAGATACAGCTAGTGTCTGAAACTTTCTTTAATGTTTTTTTCTTCTTTTTTAAAAAAGTAAATCTTTAAAAGTTTATGTTTGTTGTTTTACAATTTAATTGAGATGTTCTATTTTTATTCTTGCCACTCTGAAGCGGCGCATGATCTGAAATACAATTTCAGATCAAGATCAATCAAATATTTCATTCTGCATTCTGACTTGCTACTTTTTGCCAGTTTCCCCATTCTTCACTCTCTGGCCCCCAGTAACACTTTGAGAAGTTCATCATGGGACTAAATAAGGGAATGCATACAGTCACCTGATCGTATGCTAAAAATTTGGCTAAGATGTTTACAGATGTTAGCTGCATGATTTTAAATTAATAAGCCTACAGGGTCAAGAGCTGTTCTCAGAGGAACTTTCAAAACTACTGTGAATTTGAGTTACCTGCTGACACAGCTATTTTTACTCTATGGATTTTTCAAGAAAAAAACAACAGAAAGTTTTGAGAATTACTAGGCTGTCACTGTCTCTTTAAAGATCAAGACTACATTTCTAGACTAGAACTCCTGTTTTTCTACTAAGTCAAATGGAAGGTTACTATCATTATGTTTGAAGCAATAATATTATCTTTCCTGATCTGTTTGTGCTTGATCCAAGAGCAAAAAATATGCACTTCATGCCAAATCAAATTAAAATGAAGTGTAGAGCATCACGGCATAGGTAAGAAATCTAGTTTTCTCTATAAAACAGGAATGCAAATGGTCTTCAAATACTGTTAATTTTTGGACATCTCATTAATAAACAGACACAAGGAAAATAAACAGAAAAAAAAGTTCAGAAAGAGAAAATTCAGAGCTACCAAAATTCAGTTCTTGGCAGAAAAGGAAGTGTACTAAAAGTAATGTATTTATACTAGGATTACGTTCTCACCAGACAGATTAGCATTGTGGAGTGGCAAATTCATTCTTAACGTTGGAAAAAAAAAAAAAGCCAACCAAATAAATTAGCTTCTATTACACACTATGCTAACATATCTGTATTGCTATGGTATCTACAATATCTAAGTTTGTCTATTAAACTATAGCTTGACAACATAAAATTCAACTAAATGTATAAGTCATTATGGAAACTATTTTCCAGATCATGTAAAAACCAGAAATACTAAACAAAACATTGCATGCGGGATCAGATTTCTCCTTCTCTGAAAAGAAGGAAATAGGTGTTGTGGTAAATATTTATACAAGGAACAAACCATACAATGCACAAATTCTTCTAAAGACAGTATGAATGCTCTTATTATGATCAAAAACACACAAACAGTATTTACAGGTCACCAGCAGCAACTGAATTAGAAAATTAACATTATTAACATTACAGATTAACCTGATTAACAAATTGAAGACAGTTTTTAGAGGACAAGTACAGGTTTAGTTCCATAAAGATGACAGTATAAATTAATTTTCTCAAAGAAAATTCTTAATAACACCACAGATCACGTGTACTGATTTGTAAAGTAAAATGAAGACTGGAAACTTCTGATTCATAAAAGCCAGTATCAGTCTTCCACTAAGTTTGCTGCTTCTACACTGTCCTTATTAGTGAAAATCTCCCTGGGACAAGTTGATGCTCCAGTTAGAAAGATGACCACATTTTCATTAAAAAATTTATACAATGCAAATTCTAATGATGTCCCTTAGAACATCACAATTAGATTAAATCACAGTACATTTTAGTACCAATGTTTAAGCTCTGTGAAACATTTATGAAGATACTGCTTTGTGGAGAAGTTTGTCTGTTATTTTCTATTCTTGTATGAATAGCAGATTAGACTAGCTTTCTTAAAAATAATATTTAGTAGGAATAAAGTTGTAAATTGTGCTATTTGGCACTAGATTTATGCTCAAGCCACACAGGTTGCTTATCATAATCTTTCTTCTTGATGTACAAATCAGAATACCAGCTTCCATTTCACACTCTGCACTCAGTAATGTGCAGTGGGAAGCTTCATGTCATATATGAAATGCACATTTGCACTTCAGGAAATAACATAATCAATTAATTTCTGATCACATAGGGTGGGTTGCATAGCTAGAAATTCATAGTTCTTCTTATGTCTTGTCTGAGATACATATACTAAGCACAAAGGGGAGATGGAATGAGAAATACAAAGGAAGGAAGATTGCATTAGTAGTAATGTAAAAAGTTTATTATGTTCTCACCTGCCCCCAGGTTGATGAGCAAGAGCAATTAGAAAAAAGAGATATTCCAACAACTAATCAAGGTCCCTCTGGACCAAAAGTCTGCCACTTACATTGTCAGACACTGTACCCAGTTTACCTTACACACTGTGTCATTGTCCATATCATTCATAAAGGTGTGGATAATATGGGTCTCATTATCAGTCCTTGGGGTACAATATACATGAGCAGCAGAGGACCATCAAACTGCTGATCACTATCCTTCAAGACCAGTATTTCAGCCAAGCTTTCAACCTACTCAGCAGCCCAATCAAGACTGGACTTCAACAGCTTCCACATGAGAATGATATAGGTAACAGTGACAAAAGTCTTATTAAATCATAGTATATTGCACACTGCTCCCCCTCCATCTGCATAATTAGTTGTTTCTATGTGCAAAGCAATCAGTTTAGTCATTATTTGCAGTTAGCATATCCATTTGACTATTTCTGATTACCTTCTTGACTTTCATGTGCTTGGAAATGGAGTGTAATGTGCTGCACAGAGTACAAGAGGATGTGTCTAATTCTAATAACCCTACCAGGTACTGAAGTGAGACTGATCAACCTACCACTTCCTCATGCTTGCTCCTAACATTTTAAAAGAAAGGAATAATATAACTTTTTTCCATTTATCAGGGACATCTCCTGATCAACATGAATTCTCCCTCACAATCACACTGGCCAACTCTTTCATAACTTTATGAATTTTATCTGGACTTATGGATCTGAGTGCATAAACTGCTCTAAATAGTCCATGGCCTGTTGCTTCCCTATAAGCTTCTCGTCTCCATTTCAAACCATGTTAATACATGCCCCTTTGGCAGCAAGTTTTGACTGTTATTTGTTTTTCAGCTTCAGTTTAGTAACATTTAGTTGTATAACGCTAAAGAAATCGTACAGTATATGGTATAGATCTGACAAAATTAAAGTGTCATTGCAGATCTAAGCCTAGGGACCAACAAAAACACAAATACAGTACGACGTTTTTGGAAACGTATCATCAATTCAAAATGATGGCTCAGAAAATCTTACACCAGATTCTCAGAAGATCTCTGAGAAGTCTTTTTTATTCTCAGAATCATAGATCAAATAAAAATGGTGACCATGGCAAGCTTGTAAGAGACAATCTGATGTCTATTATTGCTATTGCAGGGAGACTTCATATGGTGGTGATTCTATAAGAGTTTATTTCACTAGCAGATTGGAGAACTGCTCTCAATTTTCTAGTTTGTGATGTAGTTCAAGTTTCTCAAGTCTTTGTATTTCTAATTCACATCTCAAAATTTGTAATTTATTCAAAAGCATGAATTCACTGCAACTAACAAACATGAATCTACATTTTTTTGAAGTTGCATTTCTTCACTTATTCTATGTACTACAAGCTTCAAATCACGGCATGACTCTAGAAAATCCAACTTAAAATTTACCTGTGCACATGTTTGACTTTGTTATTCTCTTATGCTTATGTTATTAATTTTGTAATTATGTTATTATGTTATTCTCTTATGGAATCTCCTGATGCCTAAATACTACAAGTGTAGTTCAGAATAAACAACCAGCTACATGTATACATGAGCGCAGGATACAAAAGGTTACAGGTTTATGTTATTTCTCAGCTCGCACAACATAGTGGGTGCATGTGAATGATATACAGTATACTTGTTGCCTACAAATGGAATGAGGCAAATGTAATTCTGTCTCACAGACACTGCTAATGAAGAAGCTTACCTCTTCCAACCCAAAAACAATACTGTACCTTTTAGCATGACATCTACTAACACATTTTCAGAAGTTGGATTTTTGAAGGTTATGATGACAGAAGAACCCTGGCCAATGTATGCACTTATGGTAGTTGGTTCCATCAACTGAGGTGGAAGACCAATCCCCGAAAGGTAAAAAATCCATTCTTTAATCTGTGGATGAAAACTGTGTCATTATTTATTATGTGACCAGTCAGAACTATACTATATACTAAGGCAAACTGTTTATTTCTTTCTTCTAGTATTCTATGCCTCTTTTCTGTTTTGAGTGAAGTGATTTTTAACACTTTGATTCTTTCTTCTTCCCTGAAGCTATCATGTACTCTAAGTATTGCTATCTAGAAATCAATAGTACTGTTGAAGATTTTTTATATGGGACTTTGGGAGATGTTTACATCTCCTTTTTGTATGTAATTTTCATGCTAGTCAGAGCTTCCACTGTAGTGAATGGAAAGATGTGAGTGATTGCAAAAGGGCAAGTCAAAGCACATATAATAGAAATTGAAAGGACATTAAACGATAAGTTTTCTTGGGAAGACACAGAATGAAGGGAAGTAATTCATTGATGGAGCAGCAATATAATGTTACTTGAAAGAAAAGAAAGAACATTAACAACTATATAATGAAGAAACTTAAACTGATGGCCTCCTTGGCCACCTGGACGTTTTGATGGCTCATGTTCAGCCAGCACCTCAAGGGCCTTTTATTTCAAGGCAACATTCCCATTACTCTTCTCCAAGCCTATACCACAGCATGGGTTTTTATGATCCAAATACAGCACCAGGGATTTAGCCTTGTTAAATACCATGAGAAAGGACTCTCTCCACCAATCTAGCTCACTCAGAGCCTTCATGCTCTCAAGCAGATTGAAAGTCCAGCTTAATCTGGTATTATCCATGATATCTTTATTGTTTTAGAAAGATTTACTTGATACAAGAAGAAAAAAAGATTTTTTAACCTTAATGCAATAAACTTATTGGTAAAAGTCACGCATGTCTGAAGTATTTAAATAAAAGTAAGGAAAAATAAAAGAGGAGAAAGCCTGGTTTTGTCAAGCTACTGGTGGGTATATACTGGCTTATAATTGATACATCTTACTAGCTAACAAAAAAAGGAGTCACAGTAACCACAAGTAAATAACTATCATATAACTATTATTACAAAATTCTTAATACAAGAGTTGTAAAAAGATACTAATCCAAAAATATTTTCCAGGCCCACTGTAAATTTGTGTGAACAACCTTGTTCACAGAAAGAAATTCTGCACTGTAATACTGTGAAAGGATGCACATGTTCCTATTTTGTGCAGCTGAGATTTAAAGATCAGATTTGAGCTTTGCTGCTGAAGGCTCAGGCTCACAGTCTGCAAATATGAAGGCTGTAACTTCAACTGCTCTTTATGACTAACAAGCAGAGACTTTTTGAACCCCATTGTTTCAAGTGCTGAGCACCTTTAAAACAATACTCTGAAGCTTTGTCAAACTGAGTTTTTAAAGAAAAAGCCAAAAAAAAAAAAAAATTAGAAGTCAGCTTGGAAAATAAAAGAACAAAAAATTACATAGATTTTAAGATAAGCCTATTTTGTCTGAACTGCGGTAACTATTTCCACTCAACCACTGTGTGACAGATCTCAAGATCATGAATGCTCAGTGCAAGAACTCAAGAGGAAAGAAATATATGTTTGAAAAAAACAACCTCAAAACTTAAGCAAATAACATGACAGGACTTAGGCTCATCATTATTCTAACATTACTTGCTACTATTAAATTCTTTACACTACACCTGAATTCTAGTGATGTGATAAGAGGATAAAAGAAATACATCAGATCTCTGGGCATGAGCTATGTTAATGCTGACATTTCTGTTGTCCCAGTAAAGTTGATTTCAGATTTCACAAAATAAGCACGGTGATTAGCACTAAACTCAGATTCATTTTGTGAAGAGCTTCTCGTGCAACTTGAAACTAGAAACAAATGAAGCAAGTGATATCACAGAGCAGTCTCTCTCAATCCAGCCAAGTACAATCAGAAACAGTTAAGGCTTATATATCTGTAAGTACTGTCATTAACTGATTTTTGATTAATCAGCTATTCAGCTTTGAGGTGGCTTAAGTGTCCATTCAGATATATTTAATCAGAGAAATCAAAAGAGGAAAATCAATGTAGATTACAAGTTGTTTGAGGCATCCACCACGAACAAGAAACATTTTTGATAATGGTTGTTATAACTGCAAATATTCACTGTCAGTTATCAGTATAACTATTAGCAAACTACAGTAATCTAGAACTAATTTAGTAAGAATTGTAGCATTGAAAATGAATGGAAATTAACAAAATTCAAAAGACTCAGGCATAAATAGATCGCTAAAATATATATATTGAAAACATTAAAGGGACAAAGCAGTTAGAAAGACTGAGATACTTGGAGACTTGTGATTACTTGAAAGGAGATGCACTGAATGACAAGATTGAGGTGATAGGGCTCAGTTTGTTCCTGAAAGGTTTAAATGAATTATTTGAATGTTTTTTAACGTAGAGGTAATACTTCTGTGTACCACTACAAATCAGACAAGACAATAGCATTTCATGCTCTTGAACGGGTCTTGAACACATACTGTTCTCAAGAGGATTGCTGGCTCCTTGTCTTTATCATTAATAAGTATTTAAGAGGAGAGATCCTGAAAAAAATTGTGCTAACAGCACCTACAAGTAATCTCTCTTACGAATGCTTTAGCAAGGAAGAAATTACACCATTTCTATCACTGTTTATTTTCTTCATATAAAAAATGTCTTGTTGCTGTATCGCTTAAAACACTACTGAAAAGTTCTGGTAGCACTCAATTTGAATAATTCACAGCTCACTATTAAGATATTTGAGAGTCCAAAAAGAATAAAGAGAAGAAATGGTGTGCACAGGAAATGCTTCACTCAGCTCATGTGAGGAAATACTGATGTACCTATCATATTATCAATTTTTATTTTTGTTTCCAGATGCAATTTTCAGTCACCTAATAGGTCACATTGATGATTCATGTTTCTTAATTTAGTAGTTATTCATTAACAATCAGGAAAATGCACAGAGAAAAAAAAATGCCAACTCTTCTAAGATGCTCAAAATAAAAAATATTTTCAACCAACCTGAAAGGATTAAGTGTCAGATGTATGACCTTTAAAAGTTCATATCAGACTGAAACAATTCAAAGTTTTGGAAACGCATCAAGAAATTTAATTTCAGAGGCTATAATACTAAGAAATGCCACTGTGGCGGCACTAAATACAGACAAACTGTCTAACTACCAAGAAAGCTAGTAGTAGTATTCATTACTAATTCAAGATCCTAGTCCATTACCTCAAATTCTAAAACTGCAAACAGAACATCTTTGCATTTACTCTTTCATTATGCATCCAGCAATTAAATTTCAACTTGACCTTCAGATTGAAACCTTTACTGACATGCCTGTTAAAAATATTATCTATTCTGAATTCCATGTGTTGTGAGCAGCAAATATAGTACCATACCTGAGAACATCTGAAGGTTATTGATGCCTTGTGATTTCCGCTTCCTAGGGCAGATGGACAGAATTGCACAGGTACTTCAGTGGTGGAATGAGGAGCAACAATTATCTGTACAAATGTGAGATAGAAGCCAATGAAAGGAGGAAAGAACAAATTATTTTGAGTCAGTTTCTGTTTTGTGCTTTGTATTGACAGTGTTGATGTTTATGTAATTAATGTGTGCTACCAGATTCATTCTCTACTTTCAGCATACATTGGCTACTAAAGTAGCAAGTGTACTGCAGTAAACAATCTTAGTGGCAGTCACTGCACGTTCATTTATTTCCCAGAAACTGCAGAGCTGGTGTTACTGATTGCTCCAAGGTCATGGACAGCGGCTCTCACAAATACCAGTCAAACATGGCTTCAGTGTCTGAGCATACTGATGACGCTAAAAGGTTATCACATTGACCTCCAAAAACAAATTGCCTTATAGGGCAAATACATGTCAGGTTTCAATAAGCTAGTGTTTTGCCTCTCTTCCTCTTACCTTAATCTAAACTAATATTGGAAATGAAGTTTCTAGTTTTCTCTTCTTCTGAAGTACACTAATTGAGTCCCAATTGCATATGGAAAAGTAAAGTAGCTGAGTACAGTGGGGTCATAAATGTTTTGATGAACTAGATAAGAAGTGAAAGAATAGACTCATGAATAATAAAAATACTGATGCATTGACACAATGATCAGTTACAATCACTGAATTCACAACATCTGTGTCTATGTTTTGTAATAAAAACATCCTGGGTTTTTGTTATCACGCATATGTTTAAATGTCTGTGAATAAGAAGACATAAAAGATGATTGATTTGAATGGTTATAAAATGAATACAGTTTACAACTAATAAAGGTCAAAACATCACCTTACAATGGCTAGTGCTGAAAAGCCCTTTTATAAAGGAAACATCGTGCCTGAAAGAATAGGCCACCAAATAGCACTGAACATGAGTTACTAAAACAAGGGCTTCCACCAGCAGCCCCAACCCACTGCACCCACAGGCAGTAAGTAGAGTCATGATAGGGATTGAGTTCAGGGCCTCCTGTGGCCCCAGGACTCCTGAACACTTTCATGGCTCTCAGGCCAAGCCAGGGCCCTTGGTGGGTGTAGCAGGGAGAAGCGTGCTCTCTTGGCCTGGGGCAGCAGCCCTTAACAAAGCCTCTGCTGCTCTTCCTCGCCACCATGTAGCTCTATGACTTCAGAGACAGACTCGGGCAGTTCTAATTTTACAGTTTCACTGCATGATAATCAGTGTTTCCGGAACCATAAGCTTGTGTGTCCCACAGACAGTACGATGCTCACTGCACTAGGCCCCCTCCTACTCCACTGTCACAGCACCTGCACTTCCAATCTGGGGAGCTCAGTGCTGCTGCATCGTCCACAGTTTATAAAATCTCGTATGTCCAGTAGGTGGATGATAACTTTAAAGCACATCTGTCATCAGCAAACAACCACCACCATCCTATGACTGCCACTTCTGCAAATCTTCTGTGTTACCCAGAGTAACAGGCCTGAAGGAAAGACACTTCCCACAGACTATCTCCATTTCCATCTGCCCAGGGTTCATTTAGAAGCTCATCATCTAACAAGAGCCTGAACAGCTCTTTTTGCAATGAGTTCCTGGGCATATTCAGTATCCAGAATTTTGAAAGATAATTGAAAGGTGAAAGTGAAAGAATTGAGGTGAAAAAATTTTTGTTTTGTTTCTAGGCTAGCTCCTATCTATGCTGCCTGAACCAATCAGCCCTATTTATGAAATGCAAATTTACAAATGGAGAAAGAATATTGATGAGTACCTCCTCCAAGATACTTCTGAAGGAAATGAAAAAGCACAGTAATAACAGGTTGTCGCAATATGAAAATACATGATTAAATTTGACCTGTAATTTTTAAACATTAATTTCACTAAGAGATGTATATTATTTGGAATAATAACTCCCCCATACAGATGAAAACAGATTGGAATTCCATTTTCAATAAGCATTAATTGACATATTATTGTCATACAGCACTGCTGTAACAAATCCAAGCACTGCAGTTATGATAATCCAGTAGCCAGACTACTTTGAAAACAGAAAAGGTTTTGATTTTTTACCTTCTATGTGTATGTTTAAATGTTTGGGTGTTTTTGTTTTTTTTTTTCATATTACACAGTATCAAGAAAGTAATTTGATTTAAGATAATCAACTAGGTCAAAAAAAAAAACCAAACAAAAAACAACATCTTTCTACTGAAAACTGAAGAATTGATTAAAAATTAAAATTGAGAAAAACACTAACATTTTAAAAGAAGTTCATACTTTGCCACAATTATTCAACAAAATAAATACATTCAACCAAATGAAATTTCATTTATACAAGCAAGTGTCTAACATAAACACGTGAAAGGGAACTGGTATCAGCGTCTGTCATAAAATCTCAGATACAACTATTCAGATCGAGAAAATGAGCTGGAAAAAAAATTGAGCAACTACACATGCAATATTCCTGTTATAAATCCAATAAGAAAGTGAAATTTTACTTAAATATAGAGGTGAATCCTCTGCTCCACACAAGACAATATTCTCAGTCATTGACCAACTAATAAGTTTGTGCACTACAAGACTGCTCTCTTTTCTGCTAGCCCTCATTTGTCAAGTTAGCTGTTCTCAATTAACAGTTTCCTAGCTGATCAGGATGAAACACATTATTGTCAAGAGCTTTATGCAAAAGCTTTAGGTAAGTTATAACTTAGAATAGCAAATTGAAGACTTACAGTGAAATAATGTTTATATTTGGCAAATATAGATTTCATATTTGTAAGTGTCTTTGCATGTAGAAGTAACATCAGAAATAAAGGTGTGTATAAATACAACAAATATGTTTGTAAAATTGTTTGCATGTATTTACATATATAGAGTATTGGGGAGTACAGTAATATCAATGACTGAGAATAATCATCTGTTAAATGCTGGAAATGAATTCACATCCTCTAGAGACAGAGAGGACAGACATTAGGAAAGAAACCTAAAACCAGCAACCCAATGACAGTTTCCCCAGAAACTCATAATGTCCAATAATCAAAAACAAGTTAGGGATTTTGCTGCAAACTTATCGAAGTTCACTTCTGTTCCAATATTTGGAGAATCTGGTAGCATTTATAAAGGTTCTAAGCTAACCTATACAGAATAAGGCTGAAAAGAAGGGAGAAAAAAACAAGATGTAGATCATTTAAAAAAAAAAATCAAAAACACATTGAAGTTAAATAACATATTTTTTTTTAAAGATAATCAGGATGTCATGTTCCATATAAAGCAGTTATAGGTTTCACTTGCAAATATTTATCAGTTTACAAATAAGTAATGAAGCTGCTTCTAATTTACATGAAACTGTCCAGAGATTGAAAGGTTTCAGATTTTTTTAAGACTTCATTAAGGACCTGAAAGTTCAGGAATACTTGAGCATAATTCATTTGGATCTCAGGAAAGAGTGTCATTAATGAAGTACTTAAAATAAATTCGTTTAAATGAGAAATGTTAGTCAAAATTAGATTAACATTTTAGTTAATCTCCAGGAAATAGATTTTTCTCTCACACTTTTTTTTGAACCTGGGTCATTCTAACACAGCTCAATTCGAGACTGACAGCCCAGTCCATGGTTCTATATCATAAATGACATAACAAAAAATATGAAATACTAAAAGTACTGAACTACGCAGAATTCTAAAATGACTCTAATTCTCTTTACACATTATCTATTGGATAATCTCATTTTTCAACCATTGTTCAAATAATTTGTTCTTATGGTTGTGTTTCATCTGAGGGTCCCTCAAATCAGTTTAGCCTCAGAATGCTTATGTTTAAATAAAAGCATGGTTTAGAAAAACAGAAATAATTAAGATAGGAAACTATTGTGTTTCACAAAGAGGTAGAAATAGGACTAAAAGTAAAAGGACACATTCTGTGACCTGTTTATGATTACTATGAACCAATATCTGAAACACAGGTTACAGTTCATAAGAACAAGAAGTAATCTTTGGGAATCTAGAATCTAGGCTATCCTAAACCTACCATGTGACACATTCAGGGGAAGAAACAGGTATTTAAACCCCACCCTCCACCTTCAACATAAAAATTGAAAGAAAATTCAATAGCTCTCCAAACATGGCCTGCAATGGAATAAAATAAGGTAAAATGACAGATACACAAAATGAATATTAGGCAGTTGCTTAGAGCATATTGTCCAAAACTATCCTTTAACTGGAAGAAAAACTAATTCAAAAAGAACATTTCAAAAATTCAATGCATAAACTACACAGGTCACCCCAAAAGTAATATCTCTTATTTATTTCCATGGAAAATAAAACTGATACAAAGAGCACATTAGTACTATTTGATAGTGCAAATTCTCAGCTATAAAACACTATTTTTCATCACAATCACCATGAGCTGTGCATTTTTGCCAGCAACAAGCAAGAGTCTGCATGCCATGCTTGTAAAACTCTTCACCAGTGTAGGCGACCCAGTGTTGCTGGCACTACTGCTGAAACACACCATCATTGAGTCCACATCCACTGTTCAGTCTCCATCAACATTCAGCAAGGATTAATGAATGTCAGTGAATGCCGTTTTTTTCCACATGGAGGAATTCAGTGGCACACCGTTGCTTGGCATACACTTCTATATCAGACACCATTGTGTCTGCTGCCATCTCTAATACGGCAACAAAATGAGATATCGGTGGAAAGGTTCAACCTTTACTGCCATATAACCACCATCTGCCTCTGAGGCAGTGGGACATCATCATACAATAGGAGGCATTACTTTCAGAGCAGCCCTTATATATTTATTACTGAATATTCTATTAGAAAGTAAAGAAAAAATAAATAGCTGCTGTTAGTGTTGAATGTCTTTTCCTAAATAATGCAATGCAGTTACTGGTGATATGCAAATATCTAGTAATAAATTAGGAAACCTGAATAGAGAATATATTACTTTTTAATTTCCTGGACAAGGTCATATGCAATCCATATTCCAAAGTCACTATAATTAAATCTACTCCACTTCTTAGGCCAGTGACCTAAATATGACATGTATAATTCTCCTAGATGATTAATATAGTTCTCATCCATTATGTTTATTAGTCATTACTTCCTATGTCAAATGATGAAATGATTATTAATACCACATGTCAAGACTGACATAATATTTGAAAATGTGTTAATAATCATGACATAAGAAATGGAGTAAAATAAGCACTTCACATACTATGTATGCAAAACATATGCAATTCAATAATTAAGTATGATTCTCTTCAGCTGTTGTCTTTAAGGCTACTATATTTCACACCAGAAGCTGTTCATTTTCCAAAAGCCAAAAACATACATATTATGGCTTTAGTGTATCACTCTCCTTTCTCTAAAAAATTAATTTACTATCTTCTCAGCTTTATTTTAGGACATTATTACAATATCAATGTCTGATTCCTGTGATCCTTATATCAGTTTGCACAAAAGTACCTGGTGTATTTATTGCCTGTATCATCTTTTTTTATAGATAGAATACTTATGTCTAAAACAGGTATAATTGCCATTTCTTTCCTTCCACAGAAAGTTCCTTCAATTTCCTTTTTTCTCAATAAATGCTCTGTATTCTTATGCTAATAAGAGGTTTCCCATATTCCCCTGCGCTAGAGTTTCCACACCTGTCTTTCCTTCCCTCATCTCCTCATCAAACAAAAGGACATAAATTCATTATTCAAAGAGTTCTCTGGAGGATCTTTTTTCTTTCCTTGGGCTTATTCATTACTACACATGCTTTTTCCTTCTGGAGATAAGTAGTTTGCAACATGAACACAATGCATATCATTCAGAAGAGGGGAACAGAAAAAAATCAGTTTGTGTTCCTCTAAAGGTGTAGCCTTCTGACATTCTTTATAAAATGCAAAGATGCAAAAATGCATATTTTTATTTCATCATAACACTTATTCTGTGATTTAAATAGCAATGCCATATACACAAAAAAATTACTGGTTACTATTAAGCAGTAACCAATTGCCAGTAATTAATGTTATAGATTCAGGGTCCCAACCATCTAGCACTTTAGCCAAATTCAATGAAAATATGAAAATTCAGTCCATCCATACAAATCTCAGTTACTCCTTCAAAGGTCAAAGATACATCTTATCCTACATTAGTATTTTACCTTTTCAACTAAATATTTATCTAGTTATCCTGTTATAATACAGCTGGTTTGTTTATAATATCTCCTTCAAATGTTTTCTGGATATTATTAGCTATCAACACTGCACCCCTCTGTAAATCCATACCACAAAGCATTAAAAACAAACAAACAAAAAAAACCATGCAACTTTTTTTCCTTTTTGTATTTGCTTTCATCTTCAACCAACAAAATCCATAGAATACATGTCTGTAACATCTCTAATCCTTGAGATTATCCTGTGTATTCCTTCTACGGTATGATAAGCAATTTAATGCCTTTTTACCAGAAATTTTTCTTGAATTACTTTTGCAAAATCTTCTCAGTTGCCTTTTATTTTTTATTTTTTTTCAATCTACTTACATGATGCTTTGGATCAATCTCAGTTGAAAAATTGCTAGGATTGCTGTTAGCAATTTCTAGTTTCAGAGTTTCATGTGTAGGATTAAAGAGAGGTATGTAGAGAAGAACCCACCTGAAAAAAATATATGTATACAATGGCTATTATTAATTACAAACCTTCTTCTACTTCAGTCTATTATTAATTAATCATTTTATTTTTTGAAAATAAGTTCCTTTAAAACTAAGAATTATCCTTTATTGCAATAGTATTTCACCACTAGTGCAGACACATACTTAATATCATTAATGATTAATAACAGTAAAACAGTAGCAATAACCACTCTAATTCTTGTCCATCGTTAAGGGCTGAATTTGTCTCACTCAACTTCAGTTTCCAGGAATTTGAATTAAGTTAGTTGATTAAAGGGACTGTCTAGCTTCCTTAGTGCTTAACTGGAAGAAAAAAAATTTCAGAAACAACTGGTCTCAACCTAATATAAGTCAGTAAGATGTGAAATCACTTTTCATTGACTACAGGAGCAACTAAGATTTCATATCTTGAAATTGATGCCAAACTTCTAGATAGAAGAGTGATTAAATGAATCCCACTGCCTCTGGTACCTTCCCATTTATTTCTAGGCCCTAATTTGCACATTCATTTATAACTATTCTTTCTTAATTTCTATAGATCTAACTTTGGATTGAAACATATTAATCAAATAGTTAATTTAGAATGCCAAGGCCACCAAGAAAAAAAAAAAAGGCTCCGAAAAGGAAGATCATTTAAGTATGCATTATTATTAAGTAGTCTATATATGGACTCAGTCTGCTTCATAAAAAATGCACTGGACAGAAATGAAAAGGTAATCAAATAACGATACCTATCCCACCTTCTGATCTGGGTGATGGCTTACACAAGAATCTTATAATTAAGTGGTTCAGTCAATGGCTTGTGATTTACAGCCATTAGGCAATCATCATTTTTGGTCATCATTTAACACAGATCTCAAAAAAAAATAAACCTCTATTTGAATGGAGGTGCTAATTGCTGTCCTCTCTTCTTCTGTATTGAATCAAAATCCATTTCATTTCATATAGTTGTTGAACTGATCATTACAGCATAATTATAAATCAGTTATACATGTAGATTATGTATTTTAATGAATTATGTGGCAGTTCCCAATGATTGCAGTAAGCTGAATGTGTTATGTTTTGAATCAGCTGGCATTCTATCTTATAGGTGGCCTTCATTTTCCAATAAGGAAAGAAACCAACACAAGATACTTCAAATAGGGAGCACAATTTAAAATATATATATATATATATTTGTATATATATATATGTGACCATAAATCACATTCTGGTTATAACACCAAGGGAGGTACAAAAGAGATTCAAGGTGAATCAGTGAAAACAGTAAACAAGAAAAGTTTGAAAAATGAGATACATATATTTGTTTTGTGGTAATTTATCTGGCTAATGGATATGCCTTCTAGCTGCGGCAGGTCAACTGCCAGATTGCTCCACATATTTATCCTCTGGAATAAATGAGTCAGTTAATCATAGACAAATCAGTAAAGAAAATATATATATGTATTTTTATATAAACAGCATTCAGAAATAAAGGCATTTCAGTCAAGAATTATAAATGTAACTTCAGGTCCTCAAGCTTGTTGTCTGCAGGTGGGCTCCTTCCAATATAGGAAGTGATGCATTGGTGCCTGTGGGGTTACTGACAACTTTAAGACGTGAATGCTCAGCAGCTGAGTGGCAGATTTGTTTTTGTCTACAGTATCAAAATGTTGTATCAGCAAGGGCTCAACATTAGAGAGTATAGAAAAATCAGGAAGCTGTCAGAGAAGAACTTCATATTCACCTGTAATTTCCCATATTCATCTATAGCTTTTACTTTTTTGTCTGGACTCTTTTGTATATAATATTTAATTTGCAAAAAATAAAGTTATGTTGCAATATTTGAAATTATAGTAAGCAACTATTTGACTAGTAATCAAAACTTTAAGAACCTCTTCCACTCCACACAGTGAACACAGTTGTTACACTAATTTTAGCATAAGTTGTTGCACAACACACTAAAGAACTTAATTTAACTGATTGTCATCTTCAATTACTCCTCTTTGGAGACTATAACAAAATGAATAAATGAAGATAGAAAAAATCAAGCAGAGGATTGACTTGCTTAAAATCATATTCTAAATGACATGTTAAAGGTAACATGATAGAAACAAAACCCATATTATGTTATCTGAAAAAGTACTAAAAGATAAAATCTAGATGTTTTCCTTTCTCCTTCAAAAAATGATTAGAAATTGATAGTAAGGGTCATAGTTCTTTGCTTCTAATCCAGTTCCAAGTGATGTTTCAAGGGCACTTATTAATTTTTTCAGATAGATAACAAAAAGAATACAATGAGCACATAACGAAAAAAAACCTAAACCATTATTCTTAGAAGGGTATTTAGATATGATAATGCTCCTTCAGTATTGAGGAAAAAGTAGCAGAATCAAAATCCTTTAAAGTAGAAGAAATCTCCATCAACCAGAAGGGTTTCAAGCATTTTATGAAATTTATCATTCACAGTCTGTGTCTTCAAAAGCATGGCAAAGAAGTAAACTCACCCAAAACAAAACAAATGGATATCTTTGTTAAGCAGACAATATAGAAAGTTCTAGTTTATTTTGAACCAAATTTACTACAAAACTTAGCTTCTGCCCGTATTGCCTTTACCTATTCAGCATACATTAATGCAGCCAATTTACTTGGATAATCTTATCAGCACTCAGTTTACTCTTCATTTTCCTTTCAGCAAGTAGAGAAAATCACAGTAATTTGAGTGTAACATTACTGCCATGGTGAAATGTCATTGTTCACTATTTTCCACTTCAAAAAGCAAAAAATATGCTGATGATACAATAGAAATAAATTTCTTAAATGAGGAGACCAAAGAAGGAATTAACAAAAATAACTCGAAACGAAACATTGTGAAATGAAGAATATGATAGATGATAGAAATAAAAGAAGGCTTGCCATTTTTGTTTTACTGTTTTATAATAAGCATATAAAAACATACATAAAAAGACTACTGCTTGTGTGCTTTTATATGTTACTGTTATTGCTGCCATTAATAATCAAAGCAACCTTTTGGGATTGCAGCCCAGAAGACCAATCGTACCTGGGCTGCATCAAGAGAAGTGTGCCCCGCTACTCTGCTCTCGTGAGAATACCTGGAGTACTGAACCCAGTTTGGGAGACCCCAGCACAAGAAGGACATGGAGCTGTTGAAGCAGGTCCAGAAGAGGGCCACAAACATGATCAAAGGGCTGGAGCACCTCCCCTATGGGGACAGGCTGAGAGAGCTGGGACTCTTCAGCCTGGAGAAGAGAAGGCTCTGGGGAGATCTTATAGCAGCGTACCAGTACCTGAGGGGGACCTACAGGAAAGCTGGGGAGGAACTCTTTGTAAGAGCATTTTGCAATAGGACAAGAAGAAATGGCTTGAATCTGGAAGAGGATAGATTTAGACTAGATATTAGGAAGAAATTATTTACTGTGAGGGTGGTGAGACACTGGAACAGGCTGCCCAGAGAGACTGCAGATTCCCCTACCTTAGAAGCATTCAAGGCCAGGCTGGATGGGGCTTTGAGCTACCTGGTCTGTGGGAGGTGTCCCTGTCTACAACAGAGGGGTTGGAACTAGGTGATCTTAAAGGTCCCTTCTAACCTGAACCATTTTATGATTCTATAAACAAGAATTTCTTTGTTCTTCCACTGCTGTCTGCCTATGGCAAATTGAGATGAGTTAATTTATAAGTATAGGATTTATAACATGTATCTATTTGTTAAGTTGAAAGAAATATTCTTTGAAAAAATAAAACATGAAATTCAGTGACTTTAAATTTATATTTCTGGCAAGAAAGTGTTGTATTTAATGGAACCAATCCTTTCCAACACATATTTTGTTGGGAGTAGTAAATGATAACTTGCCATTCTTGGTGAGACTACTTGTGCATGTAGTTCACAGGTAGGACATATTAAAGAAAATTACGAATGCTTGTTAAAATGAAAGGGTCGTAAGTTAGTTCAAATTCCTAACAGTTTTAGCCTATATAGTAGAGAAAAAATTTGGTTTCTACTCTAGTAAGCCCAGATTAGGAGACAGACAGCCCTACTGATTTTCTAAGAAGAACATAAAAAATAACTGCCAGTTAATTCTGGTCTTCGTATCATATACAAACAATGGATTAATTCAAAGTTGAAATTTCTGTAATTCGTTATGTTCATGCAATATAATAAAAAAAAAGGTCTCAGATTTGTGAATTAAATAAACTTATCAAAATATATGACCTGCAGTAATTTTTTTATTTCATTCATTTTATATATTCACAAAAATGTAGTCAGGTAAAATTTCATTTTGTATTCTCTCATAACATTTTTTGCTCCATTTGTAACATACAGTAATAATAGATTCAGTCAAGAACACAATATATGAAGTAAGAATTTAACACTCAAGAGATCACTGTGTCCGTAGAACCTACTACTAGTCAGAGACAGTAGGTGGAAGAACACAACTGAAATTTTGGCATTCTTTTAAGTCATATCTTCAAAATTTTCATGTTTGTCTTGAAAGTCAGATCTCACAATCATGTTATCAAATCCAAGATGAAATTTTGTTAAGGAAAGAATGAATTGGGTTCATTTCTCCACGTGCTATTCACATGGTCCATTTTCTCAATATTTGCATTATTCTAACTCTAACTATGCCCATCTCCAGGATCTGCAGGACAGAAACTGTGTTACTTTGCTTTTTCTATGGAGGTTAAAAGAAATTCAAAATTATTATACAAGCGTTTGTAAAGGAGGACTGTTGGGAATATTAGTTCAGAAGGATAAAAGGAACTTAAACAAGCCTACAGGACTCTGTATTATGGATATTTATTATTACATTTCGCAGACATTTCTACATACATATATACTTCTTGTGAAGGCTACATATAGGCTCATATCCCATTTGATTGTTCTGCAAAGAAAATTTCACCTATCTATGTTTATCGTTGCTCTCTATAACTACCTGAAATGAGGCTTTAGCAAGGCAGGTGGCAGTCTCTTTTCTTAAGTGACAATTGATAGGACTTGAGGAAAGAGTCTCAAGTTGTGTAAGAGGAGGTTTAGATTAGGTGTCAGAAAGAATTTCTTCACAGAGAGGTTGGTTAGGCATTGGAACAGGCTACCCAGAGAAGTGGCTGTGTCACCACCCCTGGAGGAGCTGCATAGTCATGGCATTTAGGGACATGGCTTAGTGGTGGAGTTGATAGCGTTATGGTGGGACTTGATGATCTTTAGTTTCTTTGCTAACCTAGGTGATTTTGATTCCATATATGAAAATTATCTGCAAAATACTATGATACATACACAGCACTACTGTGGCTTTTTCATGTATATGTGTCTTCCATGACTTATTCAAACAGGTAACCAGGTTAAACATAATGAACCACATACTTACTTTCCAAGCTCACATACTATCTCAGGTAGATCAGTTGGTAATGGTTTCTCTACAGTCAACTTCAATGCATACCAAAACTCTCCAACCACATCTGATTGGAATATGACACTAAAAACATACATAAGATTGATGTGACAAAGCTTTTGTACAGACAAATAAAAATACAGAGACGAAAAACACAGGAAAAAGTAACAAATTCAACATAGTGAATTCTTTAGTCAGCAGTTTTCTCATAATACTACTTATCAGTATAGGAATTCATCTATCAATAACCAATTATATTCCCAATTATTGATGCAAGAAAAAGTCTTCTTCATCTTTCATAACTTTATAAAAAAGAAAATTAGGTATAACTCAAAAACATTTGAACTTCTAACTTACAAAAGCAAGCTTTGATTTCATCTTAGTGCTAGAGTGTTTTCTTTTTGCCATTCTGAACTCAAAAAAAAAAAAAACCAAAAAACAAATAGAAACAGTATTCATTCATTTGAATTTTTCAACTAGGGATGAAAACCGAGAAATAGATACAGATGCATTTATAGGAACACAGAAAAGAGAGATGCTTCTAAGGAATATTCAGCATATTGTTTTTATATACAATACACCACAATCACATGTGGTGATGCCTAAGAGTTGTAGGTGAGATATACACAGCAGCATTCTGTGACAATCATTCTAATGCACTCCTTACCTACTGCATACTGTTTTTTCTATTTATTGGGGTGGCTTTCTTTTTTTCCCTTTTGGAGTTGAAGCCATAATAAAATTATCTAAAGCAATGTAAGCATATTAGAACTGTACACTGTGCAAATTCACAACACACTAAAGACCAGTTTACTTGTTCTAAATGAGAGAGAACGGTATCTATTTCACAACTGTGAATTTCCAGACTGTCCTCTGTACCAGCAGAGACTTTAAAGTGAGCAAAAATCAGCTTAGAAAAGTATCATCCAGTTGTAAAGGTACAGCTGCCAGAAATTCTTCTGTAACATTCTTCTTCCCAGCTGCTACCACAGCAAGGGAAACAGAACACATTTATGGAAAAAAAAGATCATACTACGGTGGTATGTAAAGTACTTCTGCCCAGCTGTAATTATACTCCTTGGGAGCTATTACAAGTACCAAGTAACATAACAGTATGGAATATGTACCTGTGTGCTTTATGTCATCTTTGCACATATTTTCGTTAGCTCCACCCTACCAATCAGTTGACATCTATCCCAACATTTCATCAGTTTAAACAGATTTTTATGGTATTATTTGGAAATAGTACCATATGTATATATATATGTATATACTTGAAAAATACTGGAAATAATGCACAGTATGAAAAACAGGTGTCTAGTCTAATTTGCACCTTCAGAATACTTTTATTTCTACAACTCTGCTCAGGAGAAAAAAAAAGGAAAAAAAGATTGCAGAGATAACAGTAGTCATTTCTATACACTGGTATTGCTTGAAAGCTGTATTGTGCAATGATACCTGCCATTATTCTGGTCTTTGGAAAAATCAATATAATCAAACTGAACAAAGACTTTGAAACACATGTATTTTGGCTCTCAAGCTATTAGGACTCTAATCGCCAGTCATCTGTCTCCCTCTGCAAGGACTCTGCTCCCATCCAGCAATGCTTATATTTTTGCTAATTGGTTGATATAACTGGGAAGTATGGGACTGTTTTTCTAACAGCTCTTTAAATAGTAGGCAAATTCCAGGAAAATGAGTGCTCTCTAGCTACTTGCTGAATCGGTTTAGGTGAAACTAAAACCAAGAGGTCATCTGTCTTTGTATTCATAATTATCACACTACCCAGCCTCTTCTGGATTTCCAATGTAATTAAGCAGTTTTAATTTAAAACCTTTCCATATTCATTAAGTACATCACTTGTAATTAATGGAAGATTTTGAAGCTAAGTGGATTTATGTGAAGGCTGTTAAAAGAGTTCTTAACCTGACTTTAGTTGTGTTGCTACAATTCAGTTCCTTCTGATAAGTAAAATGAAACCATGCTCATCAACATATTGAGCTTATAAAAATTACAAAATCAACAACTAGTCTAAAGATCTCAGAGGTGAACTCTAATATTAAGTAAATACCCAAATCATTGTTCACTGAATTCTGTCAGGTCAGACTTTCCTCCCAAAGGAAGGTTGTTGTTTGGTATACAAAATATTTAAAGTTAGACACATTTTTAATTTCATTTGTTACAATTTTTTTTAGGGTGATATCTACACCAAGGGTACAAATGATATCTAAGTCAATTCACTTATTAGTACAAGAGCTACAACTACCACAGGTTTCAAAACTCTACAACTTACCTTTCATATGAAGTGCCAACAACAGCTGAGGAAAACTCTACTTGATAAAAATTAAATTGTTTTGGCAAAAGTGTGAATGTTTTTTGCCCAGAAAGAGACTGATTCTCCAGCATTACATTCAGCTCAAGAACTTCATCTGCAGGGTTAGTGATAGGAATATGAATTCCAACAGTATCCTAGGAAGAAAAAATAAAAATAAGCAAGTAATTAAAAAAAAAAAAAAAAAGTAAAAATAAATTTTAGACCCAGACAAAATGAATTATGAGTGATTACACAAAGATGTCTCTCAAACAAATACAGGATACACACATGATTTATATATACATGATTTGCACTTATGCAAAAACACGCTACACTTTTGTTACGTCTGAACTAACCCAAAAAAGAGAAGTTTACAGTAAGACACAATTCAGTCAATCTTCCAGTTGTAGACTCTTTAATTACATAAATAAGGAAAAGTTCAAGTCTTTCCAGACAGTCCATGTCAACATCCTTGCTCAAGCAGGGTCTCCTGGACTGTGTCCAGGTAGCTTCTGAATATCTCCACAGATGGAGACCACAGCCTTTCTGGGCAGTACACAACAATGCTCAGTCACTCTCACAGTAAAAAGGCTTTTATTTCATATTCAGGCAGAAGCAGTTATTACAAAATATGGGAGTCACTATGGCCTGATAAGGTAAACACAAGCAGATTTTTTACATAGAGCATTTTAAGATGAACAATAATTGGGCAGAAGCAGCTCAGTCCAACAGCCATCACATCACATCCACAAACTGCTTTGAAACTGCTATATTTCCACTGTTTCCAGTGATTCCTTTCTCCCTTCCCTTCTCTAATGTAATGTAATAGTGTAAATCCATCCTATGAAACCTATTGTATGTAAATAGCAACATACTCTAACACTTTAAGCAAGAAAAAATATATTAATGAAGGAAGTTTAGTGTCACAATTCAGGATACGTTCCTGATGTTTAAAATTCATATCTTCTATTTATACAAGTTAATGTGTACAAAATATGCAGAATCCCAAACTAAATATAAGTGTATACTTTTATGCATCTCTATTTCTATCACCATTTTGGTCTATTTCCTTTGTTCTAATCAAGAAGATTATTTCAAAATGTAGGTTTTATGTTGCTAGGATGGCTTTTGTTTGTTTGTTTGTTTGTTTTGTTTTTGGTTTTGTTTATTTTTTATTATTATTTATTTTAAACATACCGTGATTAGGTTCTCAGCAAAAATTTGCCATACGAATTAATTGAAAAGTAAATAATTACTGCTATATGGAAGGAGAAAAAGTATAATTACTAATACAAAAAAAAATTGAACATGAAATACTTTACAACCCCTCACACAGCTTTAAGCCTGCGTATGATTTGGTGAATTCCTATATGTTTACATTTATAGAAAATGACTGCAGAAACACACACAAAATACATTCAATATTCTACAGATGGTAAGATTACACTAACAGTTTAAATCCTCCGAGTGCCTTGCATAAGTATGATGGGATTAAAATTTTTAATAAAATATTTTAAAGCTAGACTAACAGTTTTTACTGTTGCAAACAAAATTCTAAATGTATCTACCATTTTATTCCTAAAGGGTTCATAACAATTTTATAGTAAAACACTTGTACCTTGTTGAAAAATTACTTTACCACTAGAAAGGACACATGGAACTACTTCTTTGGGGAAAAGAAAAAAAGAAGAAGAAGAAAAAAAGAAGAAGAAGAAGAAGAAGAAGAAGAAGAAGAAGAAGAAGAAAAGAAGAAAAAGAAAAAGAAAAAGAAAGCAGCAGAAGCTACCATATAAACAAACGTACTAAGAATTCTAGCTTCTTCTTAATCAAAGGAGATATTATATTGCTAAAATTATCTTAATGGAAAGCAGCTTTCACTTGGCAGTGTCAAATGAATTCCCAAGAAATAGATTTCCTGGTATTTTCTGGGAAATTTTCTTGAAATTCCAGTAAATATTTCAATGATCTGTTATTGTATGGATGGTGATAAGAGTACACATGTATGTATCAACAGAACATGTACATACTGTATATTTCCAGGGCTTAATGGATTCTTCCAAATCCTTGTTATGGATGCATACCACTAGGTTAAATCACAAAATATCCATCCAACGGCCGATAGTATTCTTTTTCATGAAAGGCCATTATATCAGAAGAAATGTGAAGAAGCCATAACATAGGCAGTTCCCAAACTGCAGACCATGAGGTGAAAGTATTTCCCAGGCTATTGCTACAGAAGAAAATATTTCTAGAAAAGTGATTAGAATATTACTTTGACAAGCCTGGGAAGATAAAGCAGAACTTTACTTGTCCAAATCCTCATTCTTTTAGACTGATAAAAAATAAGCATATTCCTTCTCTTGGCCTCCCCTCATGACAAGCAGGAATGTTGCTTACTCGAAGATTGAACTTCCAATGCTGGCAGTAACAATGAAAAAATAGCTATCAATGTCACCATCAGTGTATCTGTAACTTACTAGGAGGAAGTTAAGATAGTTTCCTTTTCCTACAACCTTAAGTTGACAATTACTACTTGATTCTCTTTCTTGGAACAAAAGAAGCTCAAAAGGTGCCTCAGCACTGTTAATGTCAGAGTTTCCATGCTGTACTGAAAAAAGTTTAACCCAAATTTTCGAATTAGTTGTAGGAATCAGAAGTGGCTCTTGAATTGCTTGTACACTATGCCTCGAGTGCACACCTCCTCTCCACTGCTCATCCCCTCCACAAAGTCTTCTAATCCAGACCCACATTTCTACTCTCCATTAGATACTTCTCCCACTGATTATTCAGACCAATCGAAACCTTAACCTCCTATGCTGGAAGGGCTGAGTCCTTCAGCTTCCTACTGACTTGTAGGTTAATGGAATGGATCTTCATCATGTGAATTACCTAACTCACCATATGCCTACATTACTTTTTTTGCCTCTCTGTGATGTAAACTTGTTGTCAAGACAACCCTCTTTTTTCCTTGTACGTTGACAGACATCAACATTATCATGCTTCTGTGTCTTCGTTTTTTATTTGGCACATTTTGCCTTAAAAAACATCAGTTTGCAAAAAGGTACTAACCATTTATCAATTGAAAAACAAATTTAACCACCTGAAGTGCAGAAGTAAGCATCTTATGTAAATTATGTATTGTTTTGAATCCATTCTTATCACAACTGCAGTACAAGAAATTAACTAGAAGAAAAAGAAGAAAAAAAAAACTATGCATAAGACATCTAATATTAGAAGTTAATATCATAATTGGGGTTATTGGTCAGAGAGAAACCAGATGAGGTTTAACAGGAACAAAAGCAGAGTCTTGTACCTAGGGAGGAATAACTGCATGCACCAGTACAGGTTGTGGGCTGACCTGCTGGAGAGGAGCCCTGCAGAGAAGGAACTGGGTGTTCTAATGGACTGCAGATTGGCCATGAGCCAGCAGTGTGCCCTGGTGGCCAAGAAGGCCAATAACATCTTGGGTTGCATTAAAAGGAGCGTGGCCAGCAGGTCAAGGGAAGTGATCCTCCCCCTCTATTCTGCCCTGGTGAGGCTACATCTGGAGTACTGTATCCAGTTCTGAGGCTACACAGTACAAAAAAGACAGGGATCTCCTGGAAAGAGTCCAGTGGAGGGCCACAAGATGATAAAGGGCCTGGAGCGTCTCTATTATGAGGAAAGGCTGAGTGATCTGGGTATTTTCAGCCTTGAGAAAAGATGGCTCAGAGGGGATCTGATCAATGTCTATAAATATCTAAAGTGCAGGAGGCAAATGGACAAGGCCAGACTCTTTTCAGTGGTGCATGGTGATAGGACAAGAGGAAACATCCACAAACTGAAGCATAGGATGTTCCGCACAAATGTACATAAGAACTTCTTCGCAGTGAGGGTGACAGAGCACTGGAACAGGCGGCCCAGGGAGGTTGTGGATTCTCCTTCTCTGGAGACATTCAAGACCTGCCTGGACACCAACCTGCACAGTCTGGTCTAGGGAGCCTGGTTTGTAGGGGCGTTGGACAAGATGATCTCTAGTTTTCCCTTCCAGCCCCTATAATTCTGTGATTCTGTAATGAGTTCCAGGTATAAATTTGCATATAAATTTACATGTTAAAATCATACTAAATTGGATTTCTGATAGCTGAAATGGGCATTAAGTGTCTAAGTAATAATGCCCTAATACAGATTACAGAGACTACTAGTTCATAAATTATTGCAATAAGTGAACCCTCATCGACTACAAAATTCTACACCATTATCCTCTTAATAGAGACTAGACAGTGTTGCAAGCAAACAAACTGGAAAAAAATGCATTGTTATAGATGACTAATAAAAATATCTGAAATTAAAGGAGGAAAGTGTTCTATCCTGTGACCCTGTAGGGGTTTAATGCTGATAAGCATCTATGTACCACACAGTCTTTGTGCTTTGCCCAGAGCTGGATAGGTGGAAGACAATTGGAAGGGCAAAAAATTATAAAACTCATGGGCTGAGATAAAGACAGATTAACAGGAAAGGGGGGAGACAGGAAAGGAATGTAAATGAAGGAAAAAAAAAAAAAACAGCAACCCAAAATCAAATGTAAAAAAAAGGGACATACAATGCAATTTCTCTCCAAGATGCCTGATGCCTAATCAGTCCCTGAGCAATGGCAGTAACCCCTAGCCAACCCCTTCAGTTTTACTGTTGAGTATGACATCATATGGTATGAAATACCCCTTTCGTTAGTGTGAGAATCCTTTGTTTTTTGGCTTAAAGCTTGCTCCCTGAGGTATTTCTTGTGATAAGACTGACTTGTCTAGGAGATGAGTGATGCGTGTTGCTGTGTGGTAATCAACATCACTGTGTGGACAATTTTACATTTGAAAGCATTTCTTTGGAGCTGTTTACCTTCAGAAGAGGGTTCTCAGGAGTGTTTACTGGTGGAAGATCTGGCCTGTGACTAAATAACTCCAGCTTGCTATGGGAAACTGGGGGATGATGCCATTGTATCCTGTGAAGGCAAGATACAAGTTGGTGCCTCCCTGCTCTGTCTTATCTGCTGGCAAGGCCAGGAAGATAGGAACAAAGGAGTTTCTGATGAGATCGCAAAGCCACAAGCTGCCATTCCAAGGAGAGCTGACTCAACCACTTTGGATTTGAGCTGTCACTCCAAAGACAGCTGACTCGACCA